ATGGCATAACATTTCTGATTCAAGACTAAGGCACCAAAAGACAAGATGTTAGGAGTTTATCGCCAACACATTTCGTTACGTATGTAAGAGCATAATCAGGGCACAAATCTGATATGGCAGGTAGCAAGCCGCTCAATAAACAATACAGCAAAATTTTAGTGTGTAGCATACGTTTTATTGAGGTAAACACTATATACAAAATATACACTTATATACATATCTACATATTTACAAGATTCTGCGTTCAGACCTGCTTTTCACTGAAATCTCGGCAGCACCGGAGTGTTCAATGCCTGAAATACCTGCCAGCAGCTCTTTGTCGATTGCTTCATTTCGAGTTTCATCTTATGCAAAGGTACCCGCTGCAGACAACAAGAAAAATCTCCAAAACTTCACCAACCTCAAACCTCAAAGAAAACGGGCCAAAATGTCGGTAATAACCAATCATCCGACTGACCATACAATTTTCTGCGTTTTGTACTAATAGGCTGTTTTACGATGGTTCCCGTATGTAAATATTTGTGTACCTCAAGAAACATAAACAATTCATTTTAAATGTTGCAATTTTGTGCGTATGAGGGGGCCTGCTGCTAGACGTGAGAACTGTGCCCCGATGATGCTACTCCGTAAGTAGCGAAACGTGTCTGCAATAAACTGCTATCATCTATGTTGTTCAGTGCCGTCAACCATGAATCAGCAAATGACCCACAATCGACGAAGAACGGCTCAAATAGCCGGTTATATGCAATTCATTGAAAAATTCCCTGTTTCTATGCATAGTTGTTTACTATGCGGCGATACAGGCAGGCCCATTTTGATCCGTCGAACAGGCTCTACCGCTATCTACCAAAAGCTATATAAGCACACAGACAGTTTCACAACGTAAAGAACGTGGCGCATGACTCAGTAATGCCGCACTGAGGTCAAAAGTTATGGGATCCGTCCCCCAAAAACAAGCAGAATGGCTGTTTGGGACCCACTCATATCCAAAATTTCCGAGACTACGTCCATGGCAAATCAGCATTAGCCTCCAGACACATTTCGCCCAGGTATGGAAGTATAGGCCATATTCCAGCTGATTGGAAGGACAGCAAGATAATGCTCCTGTACAGGAGTAAGGGATTGCGTTCTGATTGTAACTCCTACCGCCCCATCACCTTTAAATCAGTCGAAGGAAAAGTTTTCACCACATGCTGCTGGAAAGACAGACGCCTCTGTTGCTAAAAGATCGACGACCAGGGCAGGCGAACTTCACGGCTATGAGGTCAGCAATCGATGCAGTTCTGTTCGCCGAAGTGCACCCAGAATTCGATCAACCTTTTCATGTCGTTCAGTGGACTTGAAATACGCTTTCGACTCCGTCTATCGGAAGGCGCTGGGACTTGCGCTCAATAGCACTGGCGTTCCATAACAGTTCCTGACCCTTATTCAGGACGTGTAAAATAATGACACATTTATTCGCGATGGAACGAGTCTTTCACCAATACTGTAGTCGACATCAGGCATGTGGTAAAGGTTGCGTCTTGGCCCTAGATCTCTTATGCAAAACTATGGACTGTATCGTTTAAGAAGCAGAACCTTCGCTTGGCATTAGCTGGCTTAACTGTGTAATGGACCGCAGGAAGCTGACGTTACGATAGGCGTGAACATCATTCATGGATTCGACACATTCACCAACCTTGGTAGTAAGTAGCCCTGCAATCCTGACAGCTGATGCAAACCTAACATCCTGCAACGTGTTGCTCTAGTTTCCTCCTGCATGAAGTTCTCCACAACATGTGGACGCAGCACCGTCTCAGCAAATGCACAAAAGTTAATGTTTATCATTCATGAGTACTATCAGTGCTGTCAGAAGACATGATATCTACGAGACATGGACTGTATTGCAATCGGACATTAGCCTACTGCAGAGCTTCTACATGCGATGTCGAAAGCAATTTCTGAGCATAAATTGGTACAACTTCATACATACACAGCAGTGTCGCAACGTACTCATTTTTTTGTTATAGGTGACACCACATATACGATACAATCAAGGTGACTCCGACTTCCTGATCACATCTTAACAGTGACACCCCTGCGCATCGTTTGCTGCTTATCCCAATGCAAGCTGAGGCCTTTTGCCCACGGTGCAGTAAAGGCAGTTGTCCGTGAAACACTTGGGCAGGCAAGTCAAGCATGACACCATCCTACCCTTAAAAGAAATCCTAGCCAACACGATGGTCCAAGAACATTTTTCTGGTTGGCGCAACAGGTCTCCGTCGACTACGAACACGATTGATGGACGAGTTGTGAGTGCAGGTCGCGGCGCGCAAAACATTAACCAGCTCGAGATGCACGACCGTTGTTGCTTCGATATCCTACATCGAGTTCATTCCCTCGACAAAGTGACGAAGCTTTACAGAACTGTCAGTTGTTGTGTATGGGTGATGGGGGCGCTGGATTGGAGGTGGCCTTTTGCGGACCCCTCGAAACAACTGTATTCAAAATACACTGCATGCTGTACACTGCCTTGAGTAGTTTCAACTGAAGGCCGGCACTACCAATAGATCGATCATTCGACCAAGCGATACCGTTTTCCATTATGCACTAAACATGAGAAAATTTCAAAGAACCGCCGCTTAAATGCTTGTTTCTGTTATCGCCCCAATTTTCTCTTACTATTTTTTGGTTAGTTTTTCCAGCATTAATTCTTCGGTAGTATTCAACAAGATAACTGCTCCATTTTCTCCCAGCCTGACAATCTGCCGTGGGATGCTCATGAGTATTTTAAGAACACACGCTGCCACTTTTAATTTATACCCTACGCACTTACAGAAACTGCTTCGAAAGTGCTGCATCACTGAATTATGAAGGTCTGCAGTCAGTGGTTGACGGAGAAATGCATGATTCAGTGAAGACGATTAAGAGAATGAGACATTCAACATCGCATCACAGCGTTTAAGAATTCCAACTCCGGCTTCCAATTTAAAACTGCAGTGCTAAAGTAGGCATTGCAGAGGATCAACATCCTCTTCCATCGCCGCTTCTCCTTTCGGGTCAGACAGTGCTTCCAACCTTCCCGATCCTGTGCCAGAGTCTCAGCTTCGGCAAAAGACAAATGCCGTCTGGAACAGATTCCTTCCACATGTTTGCAGCAGGTTAATCTTTGCCGTCCACCGGGCCTTCCGCCGATCTGTTTGGCAAAAAACAGTTGCTTAGCCTTTCTATCTGGAGGCATTAGCAACACATGCCCAAACCATCCCAGCTGTGACTTCTCACTCTGGAGAAGCAAAGGCTGTA